AAGCACTAAAATATAGAAACATACATTCTTGGCCGGGCGCAGTGACCCGCGCCTGTAATCCCAACACTTTGAGAGGCTGAGGTGGGCAGATCACGTAAGACCAGGAGTTTGAGACTAGCCTGGCCAACATGGTGAAACCCCATCTCTACCAAAAATACAACAATTACCCGGGTGTGGGGGTGCATGCCTGTAATCCGAGCTACTTGGGAGGCTGAGGCATGAGAATCGCTTGAATGCTGGAAGCAAGGGTTACAGTCAGCTGAGATCACACCACTGCACTCCAGCCTGGGTGACAGAGCCACCCTGTCTCAAAAAAGAAAAAAAAAACTATGTTCTTGAATATAAGAAACACGTTGCCACTATTTCTCCTTTTGGTTTCAGCAATTTTTTAAAATGTTCTGCAGCAATTTATGGATTTATTTTGCAATTAGAAACAACTCACAAAACGACTACCAGTTCTAGCGTAGGCTGTGGTAGATTGAGCCTTTCAGAGAGTGCAGAAAGTGGTAGTTTCAGCTCTCCAGTGGCTGTATCCTGCCTTCTAAGCAATGCCTGGAATTTGTGCTCTGCCTAGGGCTGAAGCCCAAACCTCAGTGGGCATGCCTGGTTTTCATTACTCCAGTAATAGGCAAGTTCATGACTTCATTGCTTGGAATCTTTAGCAAATATCCCCTCTGTGCTCCTGGAAGTTAAAAAGCCATTTGACACCAATATTTTAATGCTAAGTAAAAGAATTTTACTAATCGCCCAGGAAAATCTTCCTTGCACTAGAAAACGTTCATCCTCCAGTTGATGTTAAATGTTCTCTCCACAAAAATAATCACTGAGGTAAAGCATTTGTTAATTAGCTAGAACTAAGCATTCAATAATGTATACATACTTCAAAACATCCTCTGTTTCACATGATAAATACATATAACTGGATCTGTTGGCTTAAAAAAATAAGTTTTTTAAAAAGTAAAAAATAAATTGGCTTCCTTGCTGAAGCAAAATGAAAAATTGAGTCTAAAATATTTTAAGTTTCCCCGCTTCCTCCTTCTTCATTTTCAACTTGGAGTTGGAAGGGGAGAAAAGATTAATTTTTCTAAATCATTGCTTAAAATCTTGTGATTACCAGAAAAGTTCCACTTCAGCCTGTTTATTAAGCAAGACATCTAGACCCAGGCATCTGTTTGCATCTCCTTTTTAACCAAGCTAAAGGTAGGTCTCAAGGCCATGGCCAGATGGACCTTGGCTTAACATTAACTGTTCTAGAGGGGAAACGCCATCATATCTATGAAGACATAACCCAGTTTTAGAAGTTTCTAGAAGCAGTGATGGATGTGACAGACACCCCCCTCCTTTGAGATGAGAACGTGGCTCTATGAAAGCAGGTTTCTGTTTGACTCTCGCTGATGTGTCTGTGTCTTCCCTTGTTTTTTCTTTTCTTTTCTTTCTGTTTTTGTTTTGTTTTGTTTTTTTGAGATAGAGTCTCACTCTGTCATCCAGGCTGGAGTGCAGTGGTGCAATCTCGGTTCACTGCAACCTCCGCCTCCCGGGTTTAAGCAATTCTCCTGCTTCAGCCTCCCGAGTAGCTGGGATTACAGGCACCTTCCACCACGCCGAACTAATTTTTATATTTTCATTAGAGACGGGGTTTTGCCATGTTGACCAGGCTGGTCTTGAACTCCTGACCTCACGTGATCTGCCCACCTGGGCCTCCCAAAGTGCTGAGATTACAGGCCTGAGCCACTGTGCCTGGCCTTCCCCTGCTTTTTCTTTGTGTGGATTTGAATACATGTCAGATGTGCTGTGTGGGTCTAAGTGAATGTTCCACCTGTGTTTTTCCTTCACACAGTCCCAGGCCCTGATATGTTGTCTATATGACTTACTTTCTGGAGCAGACAGGAACAGTGTAATGAAAGAGATCAGACTTGGGTTTATCCCATCCTGCAACGGATGTCTTGTGTGATCTTGGGCATGTCATTCGAACTCCTGACCACAAGCTCCTCATCTAAGAAAGTAGTGATATTATCTACCCCCACAAGGTTTCTATGAGATTTAGACCAGATAATATATCAGCAGTACACAGGAGAGGTAATATTTTTTTTCCTTTGCATAGTCTTTCCCTGCAACTGCTTTTCATTCTGCTCTTCTTCCTTCCTCCCCTTCTCTGTTTTTTGTTCATTTGTTTTGTTTTGTTTTTTAACCCAGGTCGAGTCAATTTCAAAGGCTGGTTCTGCTTCTTTTTTTCTCCGGCTTTTCATTTTGAAAAGTTTCAAACCTTACACCAGTGCGGTGGTTCATGCCTATAATCCCAGCACTTTGGGAGGCCAAGGCAGGTGGATCGCTTGAGGCCAAGAGTTCAAGACCATTTTGGGCAACACAGCAAGATCCTGTCTTTATAAGAAAAAAAAATATTTTTTGAGAGAGAGTCTCCCTCTGTGGCCCAGGCTAGAGTGCAATGCCACAATCGCAGCTCAATGCAACCTCCTCCTCCCAGGTTCAAGCTATTCTCCTGCCTCAGCCTCCCGAGCAGTTGGGATTACAGATGCCCGCCACCACGCCTGGCTAATTTTTGTATGTTTAGTAGAGACAGCATTTCACCATGTTGGTCAGGCTGGTCTCAAACTAAAAATTTTTTAAATTAGCTGGGCATTGTGGTGTGCACCTGTAGTCCCAGCTACTTGGGAGGCTGAAGGTTAGGAGGATCACTTCAAATCAGGAGTTCACAGGCTGCAGTGAGCTAAGATTGCACTACTGCACTCCAGTCTGTGTGACAGAGCAAGACCTTGTCTCAAAAAAAAAAAAAAAAAAAAAAAAAAAAGAAGAGAAAAAAGAGAGAGAAGAAAACAGAAAAGAAAGGAAAAGAGAAAGTTTTAAACTTTAAAAAATTAAGAATCATGTAAGGGACATGCATGTACCCTTCATCAAGATTCACTCATTGTTTACATTCTGCCACATTCCTACTTTATTTTTTTCACCATTTATCTCTTAAGAAAAAGACATTCTGTCTTTGTTGCACAATGCATGTATTACAGTACAATGATCACATTCAGTAAATGTACATGATTTAATACTATATTCTGATATATAGGCCATATTCGACTTTTCCAATTACCCAAAAATGTCCACTTTTCTTTTTTTATTTTTATTTATTTATTCTTTTTGAGATGGGATCTTGCTGTGTTGCCCAGGCTGAAGTGCAATGGCGCAATCTCAGCTCACTGCAACCTCTGCCTCCCAGGTTCAAGCAATTCTTCTGCCTCAGCCTCCCGAGTAGCTGGGATTACAGGCATGTGCCAGCATGCCTAGCTAATTTTTGTATTTTTAGTAGAGGCAGGGTTTCACCATATTGGCCAGGCTGGTCTCGAACTCCTGACCTCAGCTGATCCACCCGCCTCAGCCTCCCAAAGTGCTGGGATTACAGGTGTGAGCCACCACGCCCAGCCCTACTTTTCTTAAGAGTCCAGACCAGTTACTTTGTTCATTTTGCAGGATATTCCTCAGTTTGGATTTAGCTGATCTATTCCTCTTGATTGTGGTAGCAGTATCGCGGAGGTGAGGCTGTGTCCTCAGGGCATCGCATCAGTGGGGTACATGATGTCGCATTGTCGCATTATTGATCATTTTAAGTTTGATCATTTGGTTAAAGTCATGTCCACCAGATTTTCTAAATTAAAAGTATTTCTTTGATAAGTGTTAAGTAATAGTTTTCATATAGTTTTAGTTCTGAGTTTTGTTGTGCATTTTGAGGTCATATTCTCATTTTTTCACCTACCCCGGAGTTTGACTTTGCAGAGTGGAATGATACTTCAAGTGAATGCCATGTTCTCCAACCATCTTTCACCTAATGGTCTATTCATTCATTGCTTATTCTTGCCACCCACCACAGTGGTTGTAGAATTGTGTCTTTTTTAAAAAAATTCTATCATTGTCTCTTCTACTGCTCTCCCTTAAGCTGTTAACCTACTCGGCAAATACTTTTGAAGATTTTTCATGACCAAGGTAGGCACTATGCTTAGCAACACACACAAAGGCGAATGAGACGGCCTTGACCCCTGCCCCTGTGGAGCTTGAGTGAATATAGCATGTTTCTAATTTTTTTGAGTCAAGGTTTCACTCTGTCACCTGGACTTGAATGCAGTGTTAGATCACAGCTCACTGCAACCCAAAACTCCTGGGTTCAAGTGATCCTCCCACCTCAGCCTCCCAAGTAGCTAGGTGCATGCCACCTCATCCAGCTAACTTTTTAAAAATTTTTTGTAGAGACTGTATCATGCTGTGTCGCCCAGGCTAGTAGTTTTTTAAATGTATCCATTTACTTAACAAATATTCACTCAGAGTCTATCATGTATTTATATTGTTCTATTTACTGAGAATCCAACAGTGAACAAAAACAGTCAGATCCCTGCCCTCACGGGGCTTACACTCTAGTTGATGAGCGGGAAGAGAGTATAATTGGAGAAAGCCTAGGTGGTAGAAAGAGTTGATTTTGAAATAGGTCAGAGCTCATTAATGAGGAGACATTAAAGCAAAGACCTAAAGGCAGTGAGAGAGCAGCTGTTTGGGTAAGTGGGGAACAGGTGTTCCAGGCAGAGAGAAAAGCATGAGCGAATGCATGCTCACAGGGTTCGAGTTACAGCTGGGAGGCTTGTGTGAGCAGAGCACAGAGATAAAATCCAATGGGCCAGTGATTGCCGGGGCGGGAGGGTGGAGGCAGTTGAGAAGGTAGCTGAATGTGTGAGTTAGAAAGAGGCATTTGAGGCCAGGTGTGGTGGCTCATGCCTGTAATCCCAGCACTCTGCGAGGCCAAGGCAGGTGGATTACTTGAGGTCAGGAGTTCACGACCAGCCTGACCAACATGGTGAAACCCCGTCAGTACTAAAAATACAAAAATTAGCTGGGCATGGTGGCGCATGCCTGTAATCCAGCTACTTGGGAGGCTGAGGCAGGAGAATCACTTGAACCTGGGAGGCGGAGGTTGCAGTGAGCCAAGATCACACCACTGCACTCCAGCCTGGGCAACAGAGTGAGACTCCGTCTCAAAAAAAAAAAAAGAAAGAAAGAAAGAAAAGAAAAAGAAAGAGGCGCTTGGGTTGGAGATGTGCTTTGGGGGTTGGCAGCATATGTATGGTATTTAAAGTCCTAAGAGCACCTAGGGAGTGGGTGTAGACCAAGGCTGAAGAGAAAGTGGTCAGGAAGGATGAGGAGGAACCCACGGAGAAGCCTGGAAGGAGAAGCTGATGAGGTAGATAGGGATGGAACCAGAATCTCTGGGGCCTGAATCTTACACAATTTTGGGAGGCTTCCTTTTAAAAAGAAGGGATTTTTTTAACCTTGGGATGGGAGATGAGGTTTCCCTTTAAAAAATACAAAATTATCAATGAAAAATTAAGGACAAGAGGGAATATTTATTTAGAGCCAGAAAGGAAATCACAATGAATTGCCAATTTTTATATAACAAACCTGCACATGTACCCCTGAACCTAAAATAATTTTTTAAATAAAATAAAGAAAAATATTTAAAATCATGGCTAGGGTAGGAGACAGCGATAATTTATAAAGCGTATTTGTTATTAATCACTAGAGATCACTGAACCCAAAAAGACTTTACTGTGATACTTTACTGTGAAAAAATAGTTTTCACTGCCTAAAATGAAACTCTTTATTTTCCAGTATTATTAAAATATGCAGACATTTGAAAAAAAACACTCAAAATAAAAATTGACAAATAACCATAAACATCTAAAAAGCAACATTGCAATCTTTATGATGATTAAATAACTTGCTGATGTGTTTTTCCTATACTTTTGGTTGCATATTCTTTTATCTTCTCTTCCTATAGGGCATACAATTTTCTGTAGGTGATAGATGATTTGGTGTTTCCTCCAGCATGGCTGTTCAAACTTAATTTTTAGGACTGAGAGTTGAGAAGAAGTTGACTTCCGTTTGACAGCTCTAGATGGTAATGCCCCCTCTGTAACTTCCTCTGTGGTTTCTAACTCTGGCGGTGCTTCTTGCCAGGCAACAAGGCCTCAGAGAAGTGCAGCTTTTGTTCTTACTAACATGGCACCCCATGGCATCCAATGGCCAGGTGACAGCTGGACTGCTTGGCCAGGACCACAGAACCATCAGTTCCCACCACCCTTCCAACTCCTGGGCTGGGACTGGGGGTGACATAAGGTAGCCAGGAAGCTTGGATCAAGGCGACCCCCGGGCAAGGAGCGGAGCAGCGTTTCCTTCAGACCTTCTCCTTGGCATGGGACATGAGATCTAATGTCTATGAAATGCATCATGGGAGGGCTTTTGCTGGACTCCAGGTAAAGTGGAGATAGTGCTGGCAGTCGCCTGGTCCCACTCCAAGACCTAGGAACTCCTACCCAGGTGACCTCCCAGCAAGAGAACAGTGTTGTGTGCTGCTGCTAGGGTGCCAGAGGAGACATGCGGCATCAGAAGGGTCCTGCAAGTGAGAAGCCCTGAAATGTAAGCTTCTTTATTGGCTTCAAGGTACATTGGCCTCTGTGAGGAGGAAAACCAGGAAAGAAAACTATCAGGAAAGCCAAGTGAAGAAAATATTTCCAGGAGGGAGTGATCAATAATATTAAAGGCTGTATAAGGTGCTGACTGTGAACCAACCATTGGATTTCACAACAGAGAGATCATTGGTAATCTCTTTTTTCAAAATAACTTCAATACTGGAATGCTTGAGCTTCTTTTTTTTTTTTTTTTTTTTTTTGTAAACGTGGGATTTCGCCATGTTGCCCAGGCTGGTCTTGAACTCCTGGGCTCAAGTGATCTGCCTACCTTGACCTCCCAAAGTGCTGGGATCCCAGGCATGAGCCACCACACCCCACAGGTTGTTGGTAATCTTGACATACAGTTTGGTGACATAGTGCAAGCAAAAGTCCAGTTGAGGTAGATTCATGAGAAAAGAGAGACAAGTAGGGGAGAGTGAATAGATCCAACTATTCACAGGACTTTTGTTGCTAAAAAGAAATGTTCGTGATTTTTATTTATTAACACAACATGATAAATACAATATTTTCTATTTGCGTCTCTTCAAATAATTCTAAATTGCATTGTCCCTCTGGTTTTAGGTCACAGTGGGTTCTATGTATGAAAGCAGTTCCCCATTCCTTATATAAACACTCAAAGTAGAAAAAAAAAGGGGGAACTTAAAATAATCTAGAGACTTGGCACTCTTTCCAACCCATGGGCATCCAAGTGAAACTAGTCTACAACTTGTCTCCCAGAGCTGGAGGCCAGCCAGACAGAGGGAAGCCAGACAGGGTCTTATTCAGTTCTCTCATTTTTTTTCTAACTGAAGCTTGACCTCGCAGAGTGCCTCCACCTTGTCCCACCCACTTATTTCCAAATTGCTTCGATTTTATGCAAAACATAAATTTTTCACTGACTTTATGCTTTGCATAAAATCACAACAATTTGGAAACAAGCACATTTTTAAATCGTATCTTTTATTTTTTGTTTTTATTTTTTGATTTTAGAGACAGGGTCTCACTTTGTCACTCAGGCTAGAGTGCAGTGGTGCCATCATAGCTCACTGTAGCCGTGAGCTCTTGGGCTCAAGGGATTCTCCCACCTCAGCCTCCTGAGTAGCTGAGACCACAGGTGCACACCACTATGCCCGGCTAATTTTTTTTAGCACAGGGGATAGAGATGGGGTCTTGCTATGTTGCCCAGGCTGGTCTTGAACTCCTGACCTCAAGTGATCCTCCCACTTCCGCCTCCCAAAGTGCTGGAATTTCAGGTGTGACCCACCACACCTGGCCTAAATCATATTTTTAAAGATGTGGTAGCCCATCTCATTACGTGTGAGTGTGTGTGTGAGTGTGTGTGTGTGTATGGGTGTGGGTGTGTGTGTGTGTCTTTACTGCAAAATTCTAAGACTTTTCAAAGCATTCTCTTAGTATTTTTTTAAATCACTGAAATAAATCATGTCATTTAATGATTAGTTTTTTATTTAAAATGTTATTTACAGGTAACTTTTGCCATGACAATATTGCTTACAAAAGAACCCTGGTGTCTTGGTTGTTCCTTCTATGTGACCCTAGATATGCATATACACATGTCCATACGAATTTTGTTTGTGATTCACTGCATATTAGTCTGAATTGATCATATGACCACAGTCATTGTCCTTTTGATTCAATAACTACTTGCTAGCCTATTAAGATTTTCACTGATCTCAGGGGTACCGTGCAAAGTCGGTTAAGTTGGCCCGAGAGGTTTCTTCATCTTAGTTCTCTGCTGAGTGAATTATTTGATATAATTTGTAACTTTAGAGATGCTTCTGTTTCCTGTTTTATGCCACACAGAAGCCTCGGCTTCCCCTTCCTCCTCCTCCAAACATTGCAAGAACCTTTAACCATATGCTGTGTTATTCTGTGAACCACTTCCTCTTGATAAAACGCTTTCATTGCATTTTGAAAAAATACAACACTGAAGGAATCAGGTAAAATTCAATATTCTAAGTTATTTTCAATCACACTGTACACAGGTGATTTCACAGTTTCCACCAGCATTTGCGAGCATCTGAATTCTGCAGTGCGTATTTCATCCTAAGTGCAATCCCATTCATAAGCTTTTTTAAATTTTTTCCTCCTCTTTTGTGTCTGTAGTTGTAATATGTCGACTGATTTATTTCCTAGAAAAAAAATTGACAGATGGTATTTAATTAAAAAATAATAAAAATATTAAAGTAAATTGATACTTGGAGAGCCTCAGATTTTTTAAACTTATTTCTCATCAATTCCAGTTCTCTTTTAGTTTTGGCAATCTAGTAATAAACTCAAAACACTGTAGGGTAAAAAAATAGCAGTCCCTGTAACTCCAGCACTTTGGGAGGCCGAGATGAGTGGATCACCTGAGGTCATGAGTTCGAAACCAGCCTGGCCGACATGGTGAAACCCCTTCTCAAGTGAAAAAAAAAAAAAAATTAGCTGGGCATGGTGATGGGTGCCTGTAATCCCAGCTACTTGGGAGGCTGAGGCAGGAGAAATGCTTGAACTGGGAGGCGGAGGTTGCAGTGAGCTGAGATCACACCATTGCACTCCAGCCTGAGCAACAAGAGCAAAACTCCATCTCAAAGAAAAAAAAAAAGCAGTCAATACTAGGATACAAACATTTTTCTTTAACTATCGTTAACATAGAAAGATGTACAGTATGCAGATAAATTCATTGAAGAGAAGAAATGCAGCTAAGGAAAACCCACACAGAAAAATCTTCCAGAAATTTGTTTAAACCTCCAACCATGTCTGGGATCAATAAATATTTGGTGACTGACTTACATTGTGTAAACTCGATCGAGTTACTTATCTCTGGATGCCTCAGTTTTCTCATCTAAGAGGAACCTGAAAGTGTTTTCATTTCACCTAGGGTATGAGGATGGATTTAATCAGTCAATGCACATAATGCACCAGGACAATCCCTGGTACGGAGTGAGAACACCTAATAGTTATCCGCTATTATTTTTATTGTTATCAGGCAGGTAAAGAGCAAGGGGAGATTTCTGTCTCTCTCACCCCCAGCCATGCGCAGAAACAATTGAATGAGGAGTTTTATTCTTGGTAGACAGACAGGTAGCAACTTCTCTGGTGAAGTACTGAAGACTAATTCTAACCTTCCTGAACTTCATTGACTGTGACTCATTTTAATAATCGGAAAGTCATTTTTATACCTCCTCTGTTGTTTCATTTTTTTGTATTATTTATTTTGAGCCAGGGTCTCGCTCTGTTGCCCAGGCTGGAATGCAATAGTACAATCATGAGTCACTGCAGCCTTTAACTTCTGGGCTCAAAGGATCTTCCTGCCTCTGCCTCATGAAGAGCTGGGACTACAAGCGCATGCCACTATGACTGGCTATTTTTTTTATTTTTTGTAGAGATAAGGTCTTGCTTGCAAATATTCTATTTGGTCTTTTCTTTTCATTCTCAATGCTCTGAAATTTTCATTCGGTTATTCGTATTAGTATTTTAATCCAAGTAAAGACTAAGCGTAACTAAAAATACAGCTGAAAAGGTGAAATTTGCAACCATTCAAATTAGCTTAGACAACCGGTGAGTTTGTAACATCTTAATATGGTGCCATAAGAAAGCAGGGTTTTGACAGATAAGCTCCTTATAAAAATGTAAATAATGTGTTTCTTCGTTGTATTGACACTTGCTGCCACTGAAAACAACTCTGTAAACCCAAAACTTGATAATTACAAGAAGAAAAAAATCTTAACAACTTTTTTATTTCATGTAGAAGTTGTTAGGACCACTTGTTTGTTTTGTTTTGTTGTGAGGTGGAGTCTTGCTCTGTCGCCCAGGCTGGAGTGCAGCACGACCTCGGCTCACTGCAACCGCCGCCTCCTGTGTTCAAGCGATTCTTGTGCCTCAGACTCCCAAGTAGCTTATAGGCGAGCACCACCACGCCCAGCTAATTTTTTGGTATTTTTAGTAGAGACAGGGTTTCACCATGCTGGCCAGGCCGGTCTCAAACTCCCGACCTCAAGTGATCCACCTGCCTCAGTCTCACAAAGTGCTGGGATTAGAGGCATGAGCCACCACGCCCAGCCTTGTTTTGAACTTATATGAAAAATAGTGTTTTTTTGTTTTCTGTTTTATTAAAAATTTCCTATTATAAACAATTTTATTATTACATATTTAATTTAATATATAAAATGGCATGCTTTTATGAATAAATCTTTTAGTTTTAAGAGCATCAAATAATCCCTTAATTTAATATCATTCTGCTCAAAATTCAGTTCCTAGCACGAAATTATAACATATTATTGTTATAACAAAGGAGTACTTAAGCATGTTTATGTGTTCACTTTCGTTCTTACCGATCAGCAAATTTAAAATAAACACATGAAATTAGTTATAGGACATGAATTAAGAAATAATTAAGATAGAAAACACAACGTGTTTTTATTTACTAAATAATGATTAGCCTATTACT